CAGCATGGCCAGCATGGACAACATGGGCAACATGGTCCACATGGGCAACATAATCAACATGGACAACATGGACAACATGGATATTTTGCTCCTCAAGGTAATTAAAGAAAATCTTTATATGTATATTTAGTAATAAAATAATAGTAATATTAAAATAATCAAACATTTTGTTCTGTTAAAATTTAATATCTATATGTAATATTAACAGTCATTTTATATGCATTTGTATAGCTGGAAATTCAAGAGGCGTTTTAGATTCTCAAGGTAAGATGTGACGTGCTATTGCTCGCGTAAAAATCACATAAAAATGTTTCTTTTTTTGGATGAATTTGAATGTGAATAATATTGGATGACTTTTGTACCGATTATTTTTCTGTTTCCTACCATTTTCAAGAGATATAAGTCTGTTTTAAAATATTAAACTGTGACTCGTATTTGTATAGGGTATCCTCCTGGGCATTTCGAACAAACTGCACCTGTTGCTGCTCCAGCTGCACCTATGGGTGGACAACCAGTAATACCTTTGCCACCAAATGGTCAACCTGCTAGCTATGCTCCACCTCCATTTTTGGTGCCACCACCTCAATTTATACCACCTCAAACTGCTCCTCCTAGCATAATTAATTATGTCCCTGGCCCTAATGGGCCAGCATTTCCACCAAACTTTCAAGGATATCAAAGTTATACTCCCCCAGTTCCAGTAAGTCTTATAGTAAGGAAGAAAATAAGTTTATCTTGGTCATGTTTGATTTCATAGAAATGATTAAATATTAATTAATGATTCTATAGGCGCAAGGACCACCTCCGCCGCAAGAATTATATCAACCACAAGGCTGTACTTATTATAGTACTGCGCAACAACAACAACCAACAGCTCCTATAAGACGACCAAAGGCAGCCATTCCAATTCTTCCACCTCCAGATAATCAGCAGCATCAAAGTAATCGTGGCAGAGGTAGAAGTATTCAATCTAATCAACAAACTAACCAACCTGGTAGTGTACAACAAAGTGAACAAGAAGTTAAAAGTAACTCCGTGGAAAGTGATCAAAAAAATATGTTAGGACAATTTGATAATCTACAAAATGATCAGTCGGAATCGATCCAACAAAAGGAAGAAACCTCGAGTATTATAACATCGAGTGATATAGTAAACAAAGAAACTGTAAGCAAAAATATTAACAACGTTAATATAACATCGGTAGAAAATTCAGTTGTTACGATGGATAAAGTAGAAGATACAAGTAATAAAGAAATACCGCAGATAATTGAAGATAGCGAAAGTGTAATTACTTCCAAGTCTATACAATTGGACATTGATAAGACTGATAGCGAGCCATCTAAGCTTGAAACTACTATTTCTGAAACTTCTGTTGTTGAGGAAGCGGTTGCCTAAATAATCTATATGATGTTATAGATAGAATGAGTTATTAAAATGTCTAAATGTTCTTTATAATAATCAAGTTTGGAAGAAGCTAACTTATCGTAAAGATATATCCTTTTGTTTAATTGCGGTTTTATAAGATCTTTTGTAGAGATATTAGAAAAAATGATACACCAGATCAATCCAAATGTTAGTCGTCTCAGTAAGTTGCTTCTTGTATACAGAATAATCAAGATTCCTCTTAGAAAATCAGGATATATCTGTTATATCTACAATCAGGTTTGTCTAAACTAGTGGAATATCCGTTTGAATTTTCTTTATGAATTGTTTAATATGAAAATTAATTTAAGATTTATAATAAATCGATAAGTCGATGAAAGATCGTCAATCATTTTTTATAAACGAGAATTGGTTATTTCAATGTCAGTAGAAGAAACGTGTAGCCTTGAATATTCAGTTAGACAAGTCTGTATAATATCACGTTACAGATATAATATTAATTCTAAATCAATTATGTAACTCAATCGGACTATGTACATTTCTAGATATGTCAAAATTGATAATTTAGAATTACGATTAAATCGTAAAGCTAATTTATATTGATTCGTCTTCAACTATACTGCCATGTATTTTAAATTGGGTTTTTCTGCAATATCTGATATGCAATCGCATTGTACTTTTTATTTTTAATTCCACTAATATTTTTTTGTTTCTTATTTATTTTTTTTACCTATTAGAGATTGCTAATAACGTGTATCAATATTAAACAAGTACATCTTATATTATATATTCTAAAGTATATAAGACATCATTACAAATTAGACGATTATATACAGTTTCCAATGACGTGATGATTATGACGATAAAAAAAGAAAAAAAGAAAATTTCATAACAACACGATCACTGTAAATATAAATACAATTTCTCACAGTCGTAGAGCTGTTTCATTAATTAATTGTCTTATCGATTCTTGTGTGATTCAAATGATCTATTTATATGATCAAATTTAATTAAATATACTTAGCATATTTTAATTGAGATATATAACTTTAGTTATACAGGATGTCCTGTATAAATAAAAAAAAATATATAAAAATGATATTAATGCTATTAAAAACAAGCTTTATTTTCTTTTCTTCGCAAAAATCTTGCATGCATTGCATTTATTTTGTCGTATAGAGGATTCAATATTATACACGTACAGATACAAAAAAAAAGTGGAAAAAACAAAAGAAGAAAAAAAAGTTATAATAATACAGTAATAGTAGTAGTAGTACTAGTAGTAGTAGAAGTAGAAGTAATAATAATAATAATAATAATAATAATAATAATAAAATATATGAAATGTTTTATATGAAGTCGCGTGATCTATATATATATATAATTACAATATTATTAAACATGAAATATTTTTAAAACATACACTACTAACGCGTTCTTAGGGAGTTACCGTATTTTCGATCGGTTATTTTCTACTGGATAAATAATAACTATTACTTATAAATATGTATACTCAATTTTTTCTTTTCTGCACGGTAAATGTAAAAAATTAAATTAACATTTTAATTAAGTATAAAATTAAACTTGTTAAATTAAGTTAAAAAAGAGTAATTAAAATTTAACCGCATAAATTTTGGGACATGTATAATAAATTGTCGGAAAGTTCACGCCCATTTTGATATCAAATTTATATTTATAAATTGGTATGAATTTTTCGATCAAGCCAATATTATTTATGCATACGTATTCTACCTGCAATATATACATTTAATAGTAAAATCAAATTCATTTATATCTCAATTACTAATTACATTATACATTACTATATATACAATACATTAAAATTAAAATTATTAATGTATTGATATATAACAGAAACAGGAAGAATAAAACAAATTTTAAATAAAAAATACTAGAAGTAATATTTGGTAAATTATTCATCGTAAACTTGATAACAGTTGAAGTACCATGAATTTGTAAAAAAGACAAAAAAACATATGTATCTTTTAAAATTCTGATACATCGGATAATACGATGATTGCACTTTCACCCTGATGAAAAATGTTTCGTCGAATCCCTTGTAATGAAGTAAACAGGTACAAGCAATATGATTTTGAAATCGCTTTGAAGGAAATAAATTGTGAAATAAAAAGGAAGCATTTTTTTGGATTGTGTTATTTTTAATCGTATAAAAAAGACTGTAAAAAAATGAGTTGGGTGTATAAATCTTTCCTTCTGTTACTCTAAAACATTGAAACTTTTAAACAAAATGTACTATTAATAACTCGAATATATATATATATATATATATATACATATATATCTTCTATAAGCAAATTTAAAAAAATTGAAGGAAGAAAACAATAAGAAATAGGTTTTGATTTATACGTCATAAAAATACTTTATTATAATGCATGAAACAACACATCAGAAATAGTTTTTTCATAATATTCTACAGATTCGAAATTATTACCGAATTCACTTTAATAGTGTAGAAATACGACACAATTATTACATTTTGTAGATATATCACTTCATTTAGCATATTCAATTGTATCATAAGAGAATTGTTACAAGTACTGAATAACACTATTATTGCGAAAATATACGCTGTAAAAAAAAGAAAATTAACAAAAAAAAAAATTATCACCTAAAAAAAAAAAAGGATTTCTGTGCATACATCTTTTCATTTATAGGACATACAGGATCTTAAGAGGATAAAAATTTTCCTCTTTCTTTCTTTTTTTATTTTAGTTTATTTTATTTTTTTAAATTTTTTCTTTAAGGAAAGATTCAACGTTTATGTCCAAAGTGCGTTTATAAAACAATAAAGTTACTGATACAATATACTTTTTTTTATGGCTATTATTATAATTTTTTTATATTTTTTTTGTTATCCATTATATTCAAGCTTCTTAATTCTTGTTGCTAAATACGTATATGCATAATTCATGTATGTAACTCCTTAATTTCAATATTTAATTAATATCGACGGATTTAATATACATTTCGTATGAAGTTTATTATGATTATATGGTAACGATGATCACGGTAATGATTATGATGATGATGATGATGATGATGATGATGATGATGATGATGATGATGATGATGATGATGATGAGGACGATAGACGATAGACAACATAGACTACGACGATGACAATGATAATGATTATCTCGTGCGTGTGTATAATAATATTAAACTAAGCTATAAATCTACAATATATATATACGACATGGTAAAATAAAGCGTCCAAATTTCATCGAATTTCACATTTGAGATCACATTTGAATTAAAAAGAAAATAATTTATACAGGGTAATTTATGATATACCAGGGGTATAGTCGGTTGAAAACTTTAAAGCTCTAATAAAAGAAATATTTCATTTTTTCTAAAAATAAAAGTGAATTTGACCGACAAAAATAATTTTGTCTTTTTTAAGCTTATAACTTTTTCAACCCACACACGTTTAAGAATATTGTGAATTAAATAACCAACTCCTTCTACAAGTTGTTTTATCGTGTCAATGAATATTATAGTTATATCATATTATTTATAATTAATTAGAATTTATTCTAATTTACCATTAGTAGGCGGTTGTTCGTTAATCGCAAATCCGCTCAATGGTATGATCTCGGTATTTCGTTGAATATTATTACTATTAGTCGGGGTTTGCAGAGATTTAATTGTTGCGCGAGATCTCGCAGCGAAAAAACTCGTAATATTTGCTATTCGAGTTGCTCTTGCACGATTTTTGCGTTTCTTGAAACAGGGAACGGCTCGTTTGAATTGTCTCCTGAATTTACCTGCAACAAATGAAATTTTAGTTAGAATATTTATTCTTTTTTTATTAACTTATGAAATAATTTCTAACAAAAAAATTGTTGAGCTCTGAAAAGTTGTCTGTATTGAAAATAAAAAAACGAATAGGCGAAAACCAGCATTAAATCGACTATCAATTAGTATTGTATTATCATTATTATAATTATTGGCCAATTTTAAATAAAGTAAGATAATTAAAAATATTCCAATAAATGCCAATAACTAGTTGGAGTGCTCTATTTCTTTTATTTATTAGGACTTTGTTCTGTTATCTTTAGGTTCACAGCATTTTTTAGGGCGTTTGTTGTCCCTGCCACAACGACGTCCAGTTTTCATGCCACAGTTTCGATGGTCTTCCTGGTGGTCTTGTTGTTTCAATTTTTCCTGTTTTTGCCACTTTTGGGAGTTTGTTGTCATCCATCCTGTCTACATGGTATCGCTACTTTCTTCTCCTCCTCTTTCTTATCCACGTTACCACGTCTTGGGTCTCACATTTTTTTCTTATTTCTTCGTTTCTTCTTCTGTCTCTTAGTGAATTCCCTGTTATGGCTCGTAGCATCTTCATTTTTGTAGTTCTCAGGATACGCTTTGTTATCGTGGATTCTATCCTTGTCTTTGCCGCGTAGGTTATAGCCCAAGAGCACATGACAGCCAGATAACTTTAGAAATCACGTCATCTATTGCCGAACACTTATGACAGTTGCTACCCCCTGCCAGACACCCCTAAACTGCATGCTGGGTATCTCAATGGAGATACCGGTAAAGCAATCCATCTTGTCTCTTTTACACTATAACGAAAGTATATTTATAATTTATTAAAGTTTATAAAAATGAGATTTCTAAAGTTATCCCGAAGAAAATATAAAAAAATTGAGTTTTATACTTTAACGAATTTAAGGTACTATTTTATACACCTTTACTACCTGTTACCTGCCTAAGTAACCACAACTTAAACTCTATAGTCGCTGGTCGTTCTTACCTGTATAGGGGACATGCACAGAAAAACTTTCAGCTTTTATAAAATAAGGAAAGTCTGGCCGTCGTGGGCTCTTGCTCTATTATTATTGGTCTGACGCAACTTTTGTATATTCGTATCTTGCTTTTGATGCTCATATGTTTGTTTTTCCATATGATATCTTTAACGTATCTAGAGATTATGGAGGCTTTAGTTGTTTGGTCTCTTATCTCCTCTTCTAGATTTCTATTGCTCGTAATGATCGCTCCTAGGTATTTAAATCGCATCACTTGGTTGACACTTTGATTGTATATTGCTAACTTGCATCGTCTGGGTTCCTTGCAGATGGTGAGTGATTCAGTCTTCTGTACCAAAATAGTCATATTAAGCTTTCCTGCCATCTTATTGAATTTATATAGTATCTTTTGCATATCATCTTCATCTTCCAATATGATGAATGCGTCGTCGGTGTAGCATATTATTTTTTATATTTTCCTTTCTTAGATTAACTTTTTCTCCAGCTATTTTCACCTTCTTGATTATTTCATCCATGGTTAGGTTGAAAAGAATCGAACTTAGACTGTTGCGCTGTCTAATTCCGCTCGTCATTGGAATCTTTTTCGTTATCATGTTGCCTGTTTTTATCATTGTTGTGTTTTGGGTGTTAAGTTCTTTTATTGTTTGTATTATCTTTCCGTTTATTCTTTTGGCTCTCAGGAGCTGTAGTACGTCTCTAAGCTGTACTTTGCCAAACGCTTGTTGGAGGTTAACGAAGCACATGAACATTGGCTTGTTGAATTCTATGGCTTTTTCAGCTATTGAAAATGGCTAATAACTACAAGAAATATTCATATAGCTCATCTTTAGCATAGTTGATTTCACGATTAACACTGTTCGATTTTTCTTCGTGATTGTTCCACCGAAATTTGTCTCTACCGTGATATTCTAGGAATTTGTTTGTGCAGGAGGATGGCCCTTTTAGTGAGGACACAAAGGGTTCACAGCAGCATTTAGCATTGAACTGTAGAGCGATAGTCATTACGTAAAGTGTAAGCGAAATTGCCGAGCTGATGAATTTCATAGTGACCATTCACATTGTTCACAAGAGTACAATCTCGAAAAGTATGTCGAAACTCGTGCCGGAACTCACCTATAAAGTACAATCAAAATATCTTCTACTACTGTTTTTTTGTCTTTTTTTTTGTTGCCATTATGCTCTCAGTTCAATATAGATTTATTTTATGGGGAGAGAACCGTTTGAACGAATGGGAGAAGATATTGCTATTATTACAACATCGTTGGTCTGTAATTACTTAAAAATTTAAATAAAATATTGAAATTAAATTAAATTTAATTTACGAATGAAAAGAAAAATTAAAATATTCAAATGGAAAATGAATAGTATTATCAATATTTAAATAAACAATATCGAATATAGGTAATAAATAATATAAATAATTTTATTTTTGTATAACTTTTTAATATTGAATGGTTTGATTATATTCATGTTTAATTTATCGTTTACATTTTATTATTTTTTCAATATTTTATTTTATTATGCGTGTAATTTTGTTCACATACATATTAAAAGTCTATCAGTGACTACTCAGAATGTAAGTAAATAATTGATTAGTTTTGTTTATTATAATTATTATTATTAATTTTATAAAATTGATTGGTAAGGTAGTATCCTACTTTTCTGTTGATAAAGTTATTATTATTTAATAGCGATGGTAAAGTAATTTTCCGCCATGAGGCAAACAATCCGATGAAAAAATATCTTTTTTTTTGTACATTTTCAAATTTATATTTCTCTCGTAAAATGATTTATAATATTAATTTATTATTTAATAATTAATTCGCTGTTTATTCTATCGTCTATGAAAATTTGCTTTATTGATTGATAAATTGAAAATTATCGGCAAGCAAACTGCTCGTTTACAGTACTTTTGAATTACATTTGTCCATGTAATGAAAATGGATCGTTTTCGGAAATTTTCAAGAAGATTTAAACAATTGATGTGAATAATTCATTGATTATAATTTTTTATTATTATATTTAAGTAAACAATATTTATTTAGATTTTTTTGGTTATATTTTACATTTGAATAAATAAGTTTTATTATATTTATCAATAAAACGTTATTAACAAATTAGAAAATTACAATGAAATAAAAGATGCAAATTCTATTAAATTAAATAATTTTATTAAACACGATTAATTAATTCAAACAGTACCCTCAATATTAAACTCGTCTGTACACTATAGTTTAGCAAAATGAACGATACTATATATATATATACAATATCTTGTGAATTATATCTTGAAAAGTAGAGACACTAAGATCAATATTATAAATGGAAGATATCTTGGGAACGATTAAGAAGATTGTAAAAGAGGGTGCCTTTTTTTATTATGAAACACGATATATGGAAACGTGGATCACGTTGCCAAGTTTTAGGAATATACTGAGTAATTTATCTATTTTTTTTAAATAAAAAAATTTTTAAATATCATGGAGTAGTCGTGAATATTCAAGGAATCATTTTAATTTTTTCAAAAAATTCTAATTCGGTATTAAAACCTTCTACGATAACCAAATTTTTTTTCTTGTATTATTTTGTTTTGATATACATACTTGGTTTAGCTTTACAATGGGTATCATAGAGTACTGCAGACTATTTGTGTGTGTGTGTGTGTGTGTGATAAAGACCTTACAATTAATAATTCAGGAGGGTTGAACCATTTTATGTAAAAAGATTAAATGGTGACTCAAGGATATCCAGCAATGGCTGGATACGTTGACTTTTGCAAAAAGGTCTGTTTCTATTAACCTTTTGAGTGCTGAATACTTTTACCTAAAATGTTTTGTAGGAACGAAATAATTTATTATTAACCAGATTCTAATAATAAATTACATTTAATACTTAAAGTTTTTGTTTCTGAATATAATTTAATTAATTAATATAAAAATTACATTATATTACATTAATATTAACAAACACGTATATATGCTTGGAACGATAAGGTTAGTAATTTTTACCAAACGTATATATGCGTCCATAGCACTCAAAGGGTTAATTATTTACTATAAATAAAAGCTCAGGGATGTTGTAAAAACATTCTTCCTAACTGTGGAATTAATAAATTAGAACGGACCTAAAGAAATCTACCAAATTTATTAAGTTAATTTGTGTATTCTAGCATTTTGGGTAACCCTATAAAATCTCTTGTTTCATTTATCATATCCTTAACAAAACCATTTCTATTAATGATTAAAACAGCTTGAAAATGAATTAATTAATCCAATTTATTTAAATGGAAAAATAACAAATAATTAAAGTTATTTAAATGAATAGATTTGAAATTATTAACCTCTTTATCGTATTTATTAATAAAAAGAAATGATATTTTAATACATTAATTACGAGTCGAACAGCTTCGAGATTATTGATATTTAAGAATAAAAAATAGGAATTAAATAAATTTATATTAGTCGTATCTTGAAAAACAAATTTGATATTATTTATCCCTTTTCTCATTTTTAAATGAAATGGAATATTTAAATACGATAACAACAAATCGAAGATGAATAAAACTTAGTGAAATATCTTTTGTATACGATGAGAAATAAAACCTTGTTGGTTTATTCTATAAATAAAAATAAAATGCAATGAAATAATGACGTTGATATACGAACAAAGTTTTCCTCTTATTCCTTTTATAGATTCTTTTTATGAAATGTATATAATACAATAATAGTACTATGGATTTTCTAATATATTTTTTTCTTGTTTTCAAAGAAATAGTAGAAATTCGATGATCTTAATGGTCAAACCGATTCTCTTTTTCGTGTGAATGTTGTAAGAAGGACGTTTGCGTGCATCCCCTTTAATAAGAGATAGTCTTACGAGGTCATCGATATCTTTCATTGATGTTATACTATCTTGAATAACGTGGAGGACAAAAAATGCCAATTAAAGACGATGCCGTAGGGAAACCTTTGTTCCGTATTTTAGTAAGGCAGACACTTAGAAAATTCCATTATTATTTCGGGTCACAGAATTTTTTATTTGAATGTTTTTAAACAACTACTCACACCATTGAATGTATAATAAAACCAAAAAACACTCTTTGTATTTGTAAATATTAAATATATATATAAGAAATGTTCGATCAATAAATTACTCAGCTCGCGGTTGATCTCTAGGCGCTTAAAAATCAGGATATACAGGATAATCATCCTATCGGTAGTCCTTTATGCTAGCAAGACGTGGTCACTTACGTTAAGGGGCGAACAGAAATTTTGAGTTTTCGAAAACAAAGTTCTTCGTAAAATCTTCGGTACAAATCGCGATGAGGAAACGGGCGAATGGAGAAAACTCCATAACGTAGAAGTACATCAACTGTACAACAAACCAGAAATTATTAACATCATAAAATTACGCGGATTAAGGGGTAACACCACTATAGAATTTTCAAAAAATCGATTTTTTTTTTTTTAGCTTAAAGTGTACCTTAGACATCTAAAAACATTATGAACATGGTCTCGAAGCAAAAAAAAATTGTTAACATGGCGAAATCTTATTGTTACGAAGCGCCTCAAAGCGCCTCGAATAGTGATAACAAAACTTTAAACGCGTTTTTCTCGAAACGACATTTTTAAAATTGGCCGGACTCTGAACTCGAGCATCATTTAACCGATTGACTTGAAATTTTGAAGATAGTTTGATAGTTGTATTATCTACAGAAATACATATCCGATTTTTAATTGAATGTAAACTTTTAACTTTATAAACAATTTTCTACATTTTTTTTCGTCGAAAAGTCGATTTTTTTTATTCGAAGTTGCGCCATTTTCACAAAATTTGACTTAGGGAAAAATCCGTATGTACTTCTCAAGACAATAGTACATAAATTAAGAATTTCTTTTGTTTTTTATTCTAGATCTCACAGTTGTCCAGGTATGAGTCCGCCCGTTTTAGCAAAAAACAAAAAGACAGGGATTTGTTCAGCCACGAATACCGAAGCCATTTTTATCTAAAATCAATAAAAATATTTGTTTACATAGTTCAATATATGATTAACCGACCCTCAAAAAAGAAATTCTATTCCTCATTTAGTTTTCGTAAAAAAAATTCCCAAAAAAAAGCTTTTTTTCGGGCTCTATAGTGGTGTTACCCCTTAAGATTGGCTGGTCACGTGGCGCGCATGGGGGAGGATCGAACGGCGCATAAAATACTTGTCGGTATACCGAACGAGGAAAGACCACTAGGTAGACCGAGACGTAGATGGGAGGACAATATTATTTCGGGATCTTAAAGAAATAGGCTACGAAGACCGCGAATGAAGGGGTTCTGGGGTGGACTCAGGGACTGGAATACTGGCGGGATTTGATATTTACGGCAATGAACTTTCGAGTTAATAATGCCAATTAATAATAATAATAATAATAATAATAATAATAATAATAATAATAATAATAATAATAATAATATAATAGTAATAATATATAAGAAATGTTGTTTGCATTATCAGACCATGCTATACTGTTTAAACGTGAATATTCAATAGTTTGGAGTAAAGTCTTATGTAATATATTCTTTAATTACCGCTCATAAAATTGTAAATCAAGGGGTTCACTGCACTGTTGACGTAACAAAGCCAATGAATGAACAAGCTCGCCTTAATAGACCACTCGCCGGACGGTAAAAGCATGGTGTATCTGAAAAAGATTTTTTTACAAAAAATATGATAAGAAGCTTTTTCATCTTACTTAAAAATTTTCTTTTAATTTCGTAATAATGATATTCCAAGGTTAAGTTCTACGATTTATTAATTTTTCTTTTATAAAACTAGATTTTCTAACGACGTATTCGAAAAAAACACAAATACTTGCACAAAATGTCTATTTTGTGATTGAAATGAATTTGAAATGTCTTATTTGTTTTTTACTTTTTAAAATATTCTTTGTTATTTGTTTAATCTTTTTTTTTTATTATTGGTATCTTTATCTTTATTTTTATTTTGATTTCTCTGAACGTACTTTAGGATTGAAAACAAATGTACTGGAAAGTAGCAAATGGCAAATGTGACGACTATGGCTATTAGCATTTTAGCTGCTTTACGTCGAGATCTCAATTGACCTTCCGGGTTTCCAGCACCGATAGAAGGCATCTCACTCATCTGATAGGTTCTACGGGAAACTGCAACATATACATACACACATACAAATGGTATTTTTTTTATATCATTTATTTTTGTGAGTCTAATCATTTGATAAATTATATCATCCATTTTTGAGAAAATATGATCAATTTTATAAATACATTTAATATCTTATACTTTTAAACCAACTGTTAAAATGGATCCCATAAATTACGAAATATCCTGCGTAAGTATATGAGGTGGTAAGAATTAAAAAGAATTTAAATTATAAAAACGATTAGATAACTGATGATGAAATAAATGAAACCTGAAATATTAAAAATGATCCATTTTCGTTAAAATTTTGATTTACAATTACATCACTTTGATTCTCAACTCTTCATGAATATTAAGAAATAAAATATTTGAATTTTTTTATAGTACTTTTTTGGCAAAAAGCATTCTGTCCTTCATACCTTATTTATTATTAGATCATTTTGGTTTTTAAACCTTTATATAATGCGAGATTTAATTTATTGTATATTGTTTGTTACTCACGGTTGTGTCCAGGAATATCGCTACGCCATAGAACACGTATTATTTGCCGATAAGCCACTGTCATGAAAATTAATGGTACAATGTAGAAAAGAGTTAACTTTATGGCCCAAAGCAAAGTTTGATCTTTATGACTTAAAGATGATTTGCATTGAGTGTAAAGTATCGTTTTGACTTTACTTCCGGATGGCGCCGTGTGGAGAACTATTATATCTGGTATATCTGTAACCAAAATATCATATACAATTAATTACTATTTATTATTTTATATGAGCATTACCTAGATTAATTAATTCTTATTTCTTCAGATATGTAATTATTAATTAATAAGGTAGTTTAATGCTTTCAATTAATTGGTTCATTGATTGACAATGAATACGAAGCATTATTAATTTTTAACAAAATATTTGATTGTTTTTAATATATTTTTTGTAAATGAATTTGTGTTAGCGATCTAGCCACGTTAAATTATTAGTTTCTTTTAAATCACTGAAGTCAAGCAGTATGGCGCAATAGGCACGGTTAGTAATAGACTGAAAGCCCATGAACTCCAGACCTTCGTTATTTTATAAAAGCTGAAAGTTTGTCAGCGCATGCTTCCAACACAGATAAGAACGATGAACTATTATGAAGTTTGGGTTACCGTGGTTTTGGCAGGTAAACGGTAATAAATGTGTGTAAAATACTTATTTAAATTCATCAAATAATAAAGTGTGATTTTTTGCTATTAACTTCAGAATATTATTAAAAATCACGTTATTCATTGCCAGACACTTAACATCGTGGCAACCTCCTGCCAGACACCCTTACTGTTCATGAAATGTCAAAAAGTTTATTTGCATAAATCATTCTAATCACGAATCTCTTCTGGCAAGGGGTTGGAACTATCAAAAATGTCTGGCTAATGGAGAAAAATAATTTAATTATTACTCAAGTATTATATATAAAAATTAGCTTTTATATTATAACGTAAGTAGAATTTTAATTTCATGAACATTCAGGGTGTCTGGCAAGGGGTTGACACGACGTTAAGTGTCTGGCAATGAATGAAATTTTATATTATTAATGATTTTTTATAATATTCTGAAGGTAATACCAAAAAATCACAATACTTTATCATTTGATGAATTTAGATCGGTATTATACACACATTTAGTACCGTTTACCTGCCAAAGCCACGGTAATCCAAACTTCATAATGATCCATCGTTCTTACCTGTGTTGGGAGCATGCGCTGACAAACTTTCAGCTTTTATAAAAAACGAAGGTCTGGGGTTCACGGGCTCTTAGACTATAACATGGATGGGTGATGATTCGCTTGGAAAAATAAAAAATAAAAATTGTGCGCTGTTGCTCCAGAAAAGCGGTAAACACGACCTCTTTGTATAGTATTGAATTATGTGAGAAGGTGTTAGTAGAGTAATAGAGTAGTGATTCGAACTCATAAAAGAGTTAGTAAAAAGAAAAGAATATACATTAATTAAAATTAATATTTAAAGCATTCTCTGTTAAGTTTATTAACTATAATTAAATAATAATTTTTTTCTTATAAAATAATACAAAAATGAATGAAATTAACATTTTAATGTTGTAGTATGATGATGTTAGAAAAGAGATTATTACCGAAAATGAAAGATACTGTCCAGATAATAACAATAGCTATTTTTGCCCATTTTGTAGTAGATCTGAATTTCAATGGGTAACAAATGGCATACCATCGGTCTATCGATATGCAGGTTAATGTTAAAACACTAACACTCACTGAGACAGTCTGAAACATAAAATAAATTAAGTTTTGTTTAAATATTACTCATTTATTTATCCACTATCATTTGTCGTAATATTATAATTTTATTTTTATCTAATAAGATATTTACTAGAGAAAGAGAAAGAGAATGCAGGAAGGAATTGTCGCAGATTTTTTGGTCTGTTTAACTTGTATACACGCGACGTCAAAATGAACGCAATGAACCTTATTTGCAATTGAATAAAAAAGAAATAATTTGCTTACATTAGCATAACTTACCGTTAACCGAGCAATGCCGCATTTTTTTCCCGCAGTATTAACTTGTCAAGTTCAAGTAGATATACCAGGACAATTTACTTTGAATTTCTTTGAAATACAAAATACTCTTACTGTGTTTGTTTATTTGTATTTTTATTGAGTTGTGTGGGAGGATCTATGTAGGTATTTTATAGAAATTTGAAAACTCTTGACAATAGGTAATACTCGGGACAATTTACATGACCATTCAAAAGAATCAATTTTAAAGTTTAGTATAAAATTTATATAAAAGAATCCAACTGCATTTTGTCTTAAAATAGAAATGACAAATTTCTGTCAATTATCTTTAAATTTATATTTTTTCTTTTTCTTCAATCTTGTATTTTCACACACATTTGTAATTATACGTGTATATCGCAATATGGTTACATATAATTAAATTACATTATTAAATAATCGTATTCGATAAAATCTTATTAGATATTAAGTAATTTTATTTAAATGAAATTTATTAAATATTATATATTTATGGGTTAAATTAAAAAGTTGTCAGAGCTTCAATAAAAAATATTTTTATCTCTTAAAATAAAACTTGATTGAACCAAAAAAATTGTTTCTATTTTAGGCTCAAAATTTAAGCACCACAATTATATATACTTCCCGCATATACAAACTGGAGAAGACTCAATAATCTATCAATCTATTTACATATACAGGTCTCCCTGCAACAACGCGATAGATAGGTTCTTAGAAAATACCGTGTTATTTGAAACCGTGTTGTTTGAGACCTAGAGCCAATACAAAAAGGGGGGGAGGGGTTACGTTCCGAAAACTTTTAAAAAATAAATATTCTTTTTTTTTTTCTTAAATAAACAACTTAATTTTTATTAACAATATAAATGTATGAACAATACAAGACAAAAAATATTATCCTAATTTAACGTAACTTTAATTTAATTTATTTTTTCGTCATCACTGCTCAATTTAATCAACCGAGAACGTTTTTTCAGTGGAATGATATCGCCTTGATTTTCAGAACGTTCTTTTTCATTTAAAGTTCTTGCATTTTCTTCCCTCTTTAAAAAATTTTTAATTTTACTTTGCTTGTTGTTTATCATCAGGTCATTGTAAATTTCTCGGTATGGAGCTAGACAGTTGTGATGCTTCCTTTTGAATTTTCGGCTCCTTTCTTTGGAAGATCTGCATTCAAGAAAAATGACTTAAGATTTTTAGCTAAGTTTATGCCTTCTTGTAATATTTGTAATATTAACTTATTAAAAACACAGTCTTCATCAGTGCTAGTGTCCTCAGGATCAATTTGATTTACAATTTCGGATACCATTTCTATCAAATCCGCTTCGTCAACTTCTTCTTCCACTAATAAACCTTGAACGTCCACAATAGCCATATCCACAAAACTTTCGCCTCCGATTGATTTAGCAAGTTCTAATATGCCACCAATTTCATTTTGTGACGATTCACGCACGTTTTCTATTTTAATTAAAGAGGGCCATATCTTCTTCCAACACGCATTTAACGTTAATGTTTTTAGTTCACAACAGCGTGAGACACTTTTGTTTACAGGCCATGGAGATGAAAAGAAATACTTTCCGTAATACTGTATCTTTAAGACGGTAAGTCTCGTTGCGGCTGTAGAAGTACAGTGTTGTAAAAAGGTTTTTTGAAAGAAAACTGTTTTATAGGATACCGTGTTGTAGGAGGATTCCCGCAATTATGAATCGTGATATAGCGAAACCGTGTTAGGAGAAACCATGTTGTTGGAGGATTTGCCACAATTTGTAAATCGTGTTATAGCGAAATTGTGTTAGGAAAAACCATGGTGTTGGAGGGATACCTGTACATACAAAAGAGAGTTTAATTTTATTTTTTTTTTCTAAACTTTTTAACTCCTGTTTTTTTAGAAAAGAAAGAAATTTAAAAGGAAGCATTTAGCACACTAAAATTTAATAAAACACGTTCAAGTGAGCTAAATTCAGTTTTATGGAGCACATACATTTCTATAAAATCCGCTTATTTTCTCTGACATTTTTTTAAAGAGATATTATTGGGGTTTTTTGCAATAAGTAAAACAAGCTAGTGATTTGCTAGTAATTAATAAAACAATATTAATTTTAATGTAAAAATTATTTAACAAAGAATAAAAGTTGAATATTTTTTTGTTTTTATAACATAAAAGTGTATACATTTATTTTTATTGGAAAATTTACTTTTCCTATAGACTTGTGCTTTCTTAAGAATTGAACATTTCATTTCATTGATTTTGAAAGTGGCTTAAGTCCAATCATACCCATCACAAACATATTATTTCTTAAATAATGTTAATTATGCTAATTGGGATGATAAATTTAACACCTTTAGAAACCAAAAAACATTATTCTACTATATACAGGGTGTTCATAGATTTACTAGCCAGCGTTTATGCTGTCTCAAGATCATGATATGGTTCATTGTTGAATTTGTTTTGATATGCGCTTTCACGTGATATAAAAATACATATACAACCCTCACTTAAAAAACTGAAGGTAACCTTCATATCTCAAAAAATAATACAAATATAAAAAAATTATATGCGTCATTACATTGCTTATAAAAAACAGTATCAATTTCTTTAATTTCATTTTTTTCAAATATCTACTATTTAAGAGATAAACGTTGGCTAGTAAATCTATGAACATCCTATATGTGCCCATAATTATGAAAGTGGTTTAATGTTAGAACTCTAATGTTATATAATTATGGACACATACAGTGGCGGCCATATATTTACTTACACCTAGCAAGATCACATTGAAATCGTTGTATATATATTAATTCTAGAGATATACAAAAATCAATTTAATTTTTTATAAGTCCCTAGCATACATTATGAAATGAAAAAGCAAGGATTCTCAATTGATCATATTTAAAGAATTTTGAATATTTTTCTATTCCTAAATAAAATGTCTTGCAGACGCATACTTACGTACATACGGAAATATTTATATTTTTATAGATATTTTCAACTTAAATTAACTTAAAATAATACAACTTAAATTAAAAATGATTTTATCACGCGTGCGGTGTGTTTCGGATCATTATCCGCTTACTAAATCCAATCATATGGCCTATATTTTTCAGTAAATTTTATTAACTGATCCTTTACAATGTTTAGATATACAAATTTGTCTATAGTAAGTCTTAAACGACATTTCTTGTATTCTTCACCTCTCCGTCGTCTAACATACACTTTCCAATCAGAACCTAATCTATTAAATTTAGATTCGTCCGTAAATAGAACTTTGGACCATTTTGGGGGGAGGGGGCAATTAATATGCTCTTTTGCGAAAGCAATCCGGGCCCGGCGATTCTTTTCTAATATGAATGGTTTTCTTCTGGTAACAAGCACATTTAATTGAAATTCATTCAGTCGTCGTTGGACAGTTCTTATACTTATTTTAGTATGTAAATTTGCAGTTATCTCTCTGTGAATATCGACTGCAGTTTTAATCTATCTATTCTAAATCTACCTTCAGATAGACGATGAATTTTTCGGACCGATCTTCTATCAGTTTTTCGAGGTCTTGATTTACGAGGAATGTTATTCGATGTACCATTATAATCAATATATTTAACAGCTTGGTGACATGCCATAACTGACAGTTCCAATTCTGCAGATATTTGTCGATATGATTTGCCACTTTTGCCGAAACGTTGCACTAATCGTCGTTCTTCTGGCGCAATATTTTTTCGCTTACTCTTTACGGGAGACTTTATATCACGTCTGATCTATTCAAATTGTCAATAGACACTGATGAATACTATTTACATTCTCCAAATTTCGCTTATTAAAAAATTAAATACGACAAATCTCAGTGTACGTAAGTAGTTGATTGCTGCAAAATCGATACTTTGAAATAAAACATTGAATCAGCTAGATAAGTATGAAAAAAACCATAAAAAAGTTTAAAAGTTAAAATATGAAGTGTACGTAAGTATATGGCCGCTACTCTAAGTCATCTATTAACTATATTTTTAAATTTAATCCAACGCAAACCCTTCAATATCTCGATTCGAACAAAAATAGACTTAGGCCACTTTCCAAATAAACGGCTTATATATTATTAGATTTCAATTCCAAAAAACAAACCCCTATGCGTGTTAACTTCGATTATTAATAAAGATTTATGGAAATAAGATATTAAAATTAACAAGTTTAATAAATACAAATTTATGTACGTATTATTACTTAATTGTTATTATCAATAAATATTAAAAAATGGGCATTTTGAATGTAAAATATACAATAAATAAAATCGTATAATTGTTGAAAACATACGAAATAGAATAAATCAAATTTAATATATATTTTTGTTTTATTGTTTAACGTTTGCTTTCTTGCTATAGAAACGGCACGTGGACACAATCGAATCTCCAAATATTTGTGAAAGTGGTCGGTTCAGTTTGACAAACGTTGTGACACGTGTTTACCTATTTAATCGATTGTTGTATGACAAAAGCGATCTTAACTGTTTCTCCGTTCACCATATGGCTTTACGGTCTAACGAGACTATCGAAAGCTATGTGCGCAGGGCACTCCCCACAGACTCGCGCGCACGCGCGCGCCCCCACACACATACATACACACATACAAGGAAGTATAATTTTGTTGTCAGAAGTTTTATAACAAATGATTCTTTTTAAATTTATTATCCGTTATTATTCGATTTTGCATTGAGTGACATTTAAATTAATAATACTGTTACACG